TGGGCAAACTTCATTCCTAGCATAATGACAGTGTTCTTGGATCTCACCTGAATCCAATTTAGATCATTTAAATTTCTGGTAAGAAGAAACTCAAAGGTTTATTCCTTCTATGTTGATCAAAATTACTGGGAATATAAAGTAATTGACACTTCACTGGGCAATTCTATATGGAAGTGAGGGGAAAGGTATGCCTTCAGGAATGGTTGAATCTATCTTTGAGGAGATAGAAGAGAAAGGATCGGAGTGAAGGGTTGGCTCTACCCCCTTTCCTCAGCAAGGAGAACTGATTTTTGAAATGCCTGCTAGAAGAAAAGTAATATTTAACAATCTGATGGTTTTGTAATTGAAAAGTGGGGGTTAAATGTTATATAGATTTTGGAATCTAAGGTTAGATGAGGTTACCCTTAAAAAGCAGAGGAAAAACAGTTGTGGAGGAGATGGCATGGCAACCACAGGCATAGGAGTGCCATTTTTGTGAATGCCCAAGGATAGAAGGTCAGTGCCACTGAGTGGTAAAGAACTAAAGCAGTTTCGTTTATAGAAATATTTAGCCATTCTAGTGTTTTTCTGATGAAGAAGCAAAATATGAAGTGTTAGTCACTACTTTATATTCTCAGTGCACTTGATTATAGTTCTGTTTCTCACTCTCCCATCTTTAACAAAATCTTTTAACTTCACAAGAGCTAGTCTTCAGCTTTTGGTGCATTACCTTTGTGTGTATTCTGAATTTAGCAGAGGTCATTCCTTGTGTGCTCCTTGACCATATCAAGTTCTCATGGCACACATTAATTATACTTGGTACTCTTTTTTTTCCTTCCAGTCTCACTACCCACAGAACTGGGGTACAGGTCAGAGGTGCAGGGATGGTGAGAGGATTCACCAGAGGCAGAGCAAGGAGCAGAACAGGCAGACTGATGAAGTACACTCCTGAGGGGAGCAGTGGGTGGGTCGGGAGAGGTCTGCCAAGCCTTGTAAGATCTCCTCTGGGGCCAGGGATCTAACTAGCAGTGAAGCTGCTGCAGCCAGCTTGTAGTGCTGTATCCTAACTCATTGCACCACCAGGGAGGGCCTAAATTGGGAATCTAGTGGTTACCTGGGTAAATGAATTGCTAACGAATTTCATTACTAAAGCCAAAGTAATGTTCTCATAATCTGTGTTTTAGAACTAACTGCTTTTAACTTTTAGTTGTACAAATAAAATACCCATGGATGACTTCTGAAATGGAACAGATGATGCTGTTAAAGTATATGAGAAATTTGTAATACACAGAATCTGTGGACCTTGAATTAGGGGGTGGTGGTGGAAGCCAATGTAAATGTGTCATATAAGTTATGACATTCATTCTCATGTACCTGAAAGATGCAAGATTTATGCCTGACGCTACAAGCTTAGGGGTTATGAGTAACACTCAGGCTAAGTGCAAATCGAATCTTTGCTTTGGCTTTCTAATTTGTAAAATGGGTGTGACAACCACCTACCTCACAGAACTACTACTGTGGGGAATCAATGCTTTAATGTCTACAGAGACTGCAAACAATACCTGGATAGGTTTTAAGTGTCAGCTCTTTATTACTGTTGGTACCTCCACTGCTGTCTCTTTTTTTGTTTTATTTTTGAAAGATTTATTTGTGCATACAAAAGCTGGGGTATAGGCCAGAGGTGTGGAGGGTTGGAAGGGGGTGGTGGTGAGAGGATTCACCAGAAACAGTGGGGAACCAAACAGTGGGGATTGATCGAAATACACTGCTAAGGGGAGTAGTGTGCAGAACAGGAGAGGTCTGACACACCATATGGGTCACCTCCCTAGCTGGGGATCGAACTCATGGCTACAGGTAGCTTCATAGTGCTGTGCCTTAACCCGATGTGCCACCAGGGATGGCCCTGCTGTCTCTTTATGAGATTTATGTATAATAAGCACTTTGCTCCTTAGTATGTTGTTAATATGTAATAAGGTCTTCAAAGTTTTATAGCAAGCTCCTTAATTGCTATAGTATCCTGACTGCTGTGAAATTAATCATTTACATTTAAAAAGATAAACATTTTACCAAAATGTTAAAGACTGCTCTTTGGAAAGTAATGTGGCAGTATATATCAGAGGTCATGAAAATGTTCATGTACTTTAAGCTGGGAATTGGGCTTAAACAAACAAAATATATACTCAAACTTTTAGTTTGTGATAGTGATGATTAAGTAGGAAGAAATAGAAAAACTTAAATATCCAGAAACTCAGGGATACTTCATTCTAGCATGTTCACAAAATGAAAACTTACCCTGCCATCAAGTGACCATGAAGAAGACACAGTAGTGTGAAGAAATGCTGGAGGTGTATATAATATTAGATCACAAAAACTGTCCACAGCCATTCTCATCTAAGAAAGCCAATGAACTCCGCCAGTTGGTAGTAGCTACTGTAGAGCAAGCACTGTGGTATTTTTCTTAATGTTGCATATGATGACTTTCTGTAAAGGAAACTTTTATTATAAACACTTCACTAAAGAGCAACATTGAAGATCATGTTATAAAATAACTTTTCAGATTATTAATTGGGGAAAGGGAGAAAGTGACCATAATCCCATCAAAAATAAGACAAATTGGAAGCCACAGTTAAGTGCTAGGATATACTCTCTTGGGTTCTCTTAGAACTGAGATCTGGTGATGGCCCTGCAGATAAAGTTAGCTCCTAAGGAGATGTAGAATCACTGGGAAAATCCAGGGTTTGTTTCCCTGGCATAGAGTCTGAAGCAAAAAAGTACACTGGGAGCAGTAAAGAGAGTTAATAATCAAATATTCCAAAACTTGGTGTGTTTGTAACTTTTCAGAGTAGTTAAGTAAAATCTCTGTTACTATTGCAGAAGGGACATTATTGCTGGAAAGTGGGAATATACTATTTTTATATACCAGCTCTGGACATGCATTCTGCAGTGTCATTGGTAAATAGACTGATGTTTATGTGAGAGCTCTTGCCTGTGAGTTGGTGAAAACTTACAAATTTTCATTTTGATGCTCAGATGTTGATTTCCTATGTAAGATGTAATGTGGCTTTTTTTTTAAGTTTGGCAGGTATAGAAACCTCTTTCTGGTTTTTGTATTTTGAGGAACACAGAGACGGAGGCCTTTGTCATTTCTTCATGGGTCCAAGGAAGTGTTCAGAATGTATGCCATAGATTAGGACCAGGAGGAAGGGTATGTGGTAGTTGTGATAGGGTCCTAAAAATGGCAGCTGCTGAATTTTATGGAGATTTAAAAAATAAATTCAAAACAAGTGTTTTATGTGTAAACAAAGGTTTCTGTAAAACACAAGCATACGCTTGCCATGTGGTTTTAAAAGGTATATTCAGCATGTTACCTTCTTTTTGCAATATAAACTACAGAAAGTAAAACAGTATGACATAGTTCTCCTAATACAGAGATGGAAATAATTATAGAGGCGAATGGTTTATTTAAAAGTTTTTTAAACTGGTACAGAGTAAAATTTCTCTTAGAGTAATTTTCTTCTTTTTTAAGGTATCCAAACCCACCAATGGGATCTGTATCAGCACCCAACCTGCCTATGGCAGAAGAAAATGTGGAATATGTACGGACTCTCTATGATTTTCCTGGGAATGATGCTGAAGACCTGCCCTTTAAAAAGGGTGAGATCTTGGTGATAATAGAGAAGCCTGAAGAACAGTGGTGGAGTGCCCGGAACAAAGATGGCCGGGTTGGGATGATTCCTGTCCCTTATGTTGAAAAGCTTGTGAGATCCTCACCACATGGAAAGCATGGAAATAGGAATTCCAACAGTTACGGGATCCCAGAACCTGCTCATGCATACGCTCAACCTCAGACCGCAACTCCTCTACCTGCAGTTTCCAGTACTCCTGGGGCAGCCATCAACCCCTTGCCATCTACACAGAATGGACCTGTCTTTGCAAAAGCAATCCAGAAAAGAGTACCCTGTGCTTATGACAAGACTGCCTTGGCATTAGAGGTAAAATATGCTAAGGCTGGTGTTTGGGGTCCTTTGACATTTGGTTTTAATTTCATTTGCAGTAATTTCATTTCTGCAAAGTAGTGACTGCTCACTTAAAGCTGTATTCACAGTAATAAGGTAACTGGGTGATTTTGGTAGATTTCACTGTGTTTCACTTGATTCTTTTGTCCTTTCCTATTCCTTATTTCCCCCAAGTTCTCGGCCTGCCTGCTCTATCTTACGTTCTCGAAACCTTATAGTCTCACATTTAGTCTCACAGTTGTTGGCTTTCTTTCCATTAAGGAAAGATGGTGGTTAATGAAGACCAAAGACCTAAATTTGGAATCAACAGAGACACACATGGCCCCTTGTTCACTTGCATATTTCTAACATTGTGATCTGTAAAGCTTGTGAGTAAATGTCTTAAAATTCCTTTTTAGCTGGGCAGAGGAATAATCTTAATATATCTCACATCTTACTTATTAGAGATCTTATAAATCATCATAGTGTGAAATAGTCATACTGCTGCAGAACAAAGTATCTGTCAATAATAGACTACATATACCATGGTGGTCCCAAATTTACTGTTGCCTGATGACATAGTAGCCATCATGATGATTCTGTTTAATGTTGGCAGTGACCTCATATATATCATGTAGCCCATGTTTACTCTCTTTGATAACATCATTTTTCCTGGTGTTTAGTTTAAACTTGTATTTTTTTTTTCTTTATCTTGGCTCTTAAGTATACAAAACCCATTGTGACTGTCGCATTTGAACATTAACAAAATTGCCCGATGATAACATTTCTCAGAAGTTCTTTGAATGACTATAAACTTGAACATTTTAATTAGCAAGTCGTTTGTGTAACTAAACTTGAGTTATTTTTTAAAAAAGTCTCTTGCAAAAAGCTTAGCATATTAATGTGGCTTGCCAGTAGACACATAGCTCCCAAAGATCAATGTTGATGGGCTCAGGGGAAAAATGTATAAAACTGCAGAAGTTGGATGAAATATCTGACAAGCCAACAGTGACCATAAACTGAACCCAAACCCCGTGTTGTGCCTAGGGGAGAGAGAAGACAAGAAGGATCAAAAAAATGGACTTTAAAGTTGTATGTTTTTAAAAAATGGACCCGTATGTTTTTTTTGTTTTTTTTTAAGATTTATTTATTTATGCTTACTGGGGTACAGGCTAGACGTGTGGTGGGTGAGAGGATTCACCAGAGACAGAGTGGGGAGCAGAACAGGCAGATTGACAAAGTATACCACTGCTAAGAGTAGCAGCGGCTGGTCAGAGGAGGCCTGTTGTGTGTGCCATGTGGATCAGCTCCCTGGTCGGGGATGGAATTTGTGCTGCAGCGGCTTCAGAGAGTCTCATAATACAGTGCTTTAACCTGCTGCGCCACCAGGGAGAGCCGTATTTTGTTATTTTTATTGAGGTATAAAGTACATACAGTGAGGTGGGCCCTAAGTGTTATTGTATCAGAACATAGGGTTTGGTATACAAATCCTAGCTTTTTCTTTTGTTGATAATTCATGAAAATGCTTTGTGAATCACAAACTATAATATACACTTCATTATAATGTGATTACAATTGAGTACTCTTGAGTTTTATGGGGTTGTATATTTGTTAGAGAAGGTGAGGTTTAAGTTAATGATTATTTTCTGTGTATTCACCCCAGGGTCAGAATAGGGGAGGGTTGGAAGATGGGCTCAGGTCCATGGCAGAAAGAAGAAATAATGGAGCCTATTGTCTGAAAAAAAGTAAAATGTCCACAAAACAGATCAACGTTAACTATAATTTATTTTATATGTATTTTCCATAGTTCTCTTTAATTTTCTCTGAATCAGAAATAATATTCAAGTGAACTATAGCCGAAGGTTTGTTTCAGAGACTGTGACTACTTCTAACTTTTGACTATAAGGAAAGAATGAGTGAATGGGGCTTATAGAGGGGAACAGAATTTGGGAATGGAATTGGGCGTTGTGTAATCTGGCGCTTTTATATGTCACAGTGGAGGAAGAAAAAGGAAGCCAGAGAAAACTGCCTCCTCAAAGCTGCCATAGATAGAGCACTAACTAATCATTTATGGGATTCTCACTCCCACATAGCTCTGCCCATGCACAGGCATATATATCTGACCTAGACCACACCTCAGTGCTCTCAAAAAACTTGGGGCATCCTGAGTTCTAAATACCTTAAAGTTTGCATAGTGGCTTCAACCTTTTAAGGCATTTTTACATCTATCATTTCACCATAGTGGTAGGGAGTTAGGATTCAGAGAGTTGGTGTGATGTGCTGGGTCAGTCAGCTGAGAGAACCATGGAGGGATGAAGGAGCCCCATTAGGACACCTGTCTTTTGCTCTTGGACTCTGAGATGTGTGTGTATTTTAGAAATCCTTGTCTTTACTATGAATGTGTTGCTTAGAGTATGCGCAGGGAGATTGTAGTAGAGATTTTAGAGCACGATGAATGGGTACATAGGCAGGTGCCTGATACAGGGCAGGATGAGGAGAAAGAACCCAATTAATGATGTATATTTTAAGATAACCCATATATTTGACCGTTACACAGCTCTCTTAATCCCTCAGGCCTTAGGGAGCAGTCTCCACATCTCCACCTCCTTGTAACAACACTATTAGAAGCTTTGTAAACCATGTCACAGCCTCCTTTTGGTGTGTTCCCAAAGGAAAGTGTAAATAGGACCAGAGAAATAAACTTTTACCAAATTCCACTCAGTGACATTTCTCATTCTGTATATTTAAATGAGACTCAGCACAGTATAAGTAAATATTTCTATGAATTATCTTTTAAAACTATTAGAATATCCTGATCTTGTTTTAAAAACTCTCTTGGGACTTGCAATTAGGTTACCAGGAAAAGTATTAAAATTAAAATGCGAAAGGTGAGATAGTAGGACAAAATGTACCAGTATTTGAAGCTTCTTACTTCCCTGATATTATTAGAAGAGAACCATTATGGTTTAGATGAACTTTTTTTTCAAAGATGTATTTATTCGTGCATATGGAACTGGGGTATAGCCAGAGGTGCAGGAGCAGTGAGAGGATTCACCAGAGACAGAGTGGGGAGCAGAACAGGCAAATCTACTGAAATACACTGCTGAGGGGAGCAGTGGGCAAGGAGAGGTCTGCTGCACCATGTGTGTTACCTCCCTGCCCAGAGATTGAACTCGTGCTGAGGTAGTTGTGGCTAGCTTCTGTAATGCTGTGCTTTAACAAACTGTTGTACCACCAGTGAGGGACCTAGATGAACTTTTTTTCCTTGAGTTGTAGTACAAGGTTTTTTGTTTTTGTTTTTTAAGATTTATTTATTTGTGCATACAGAACTGGGGTACAGGCCAGAGGCTCAGGGGTGGCAAGAGGCTTCACCAGAGACAGAGTGGGGGGCAGAACAGGCAGATCGACAAAGTACACTGATGAGGGGAGCAGCGGGCGAGTCAGGAGAGGCCTGCCACGCCATGTGGTCACCTCCAGGGCAGGCGGGAATCGCACTCTTGCGGAGGTGGCTTTAGCTTCCCAGTGCTGTGCTTTAACCTGCTGCGCCACCAGGGAGGACCTGTAGTGCAAGTTTTTGTTTGTTTTTGTTGTTGTTTTTTCCCATTAAACTTGATTTTTGAAAGATTATTCCTAAAAGTAAAGAGATATTTTAAAACAGGTCTTTGTGAAGTCATTTTTCTTGAAGTCTTCTCTCTTCAAGAAGCAAGTTTATCATTAGGATTTGATTTAAAAGGGAAATTCTTGTTGCCTGTGTAAGGTGAATCACAGTAGCTGCCCAGTCCTTGACAGTAGCAGAGCTCTGCCATGCTGGTAAATCTGAAAGGACTCTGAGAAAGCAGGTCACACTAACAAGTATATTTTTAGGTTAAAGAAGAGAATGTTTGGAGCAGGAGTTCTATTACTGTTATAGAATAGTCTTATGCAGCTTCTGCTGATTAGTCTCTCATATCTAAAGACAGTAAAATTTGTCTGGTGGAATTTGATTTTGTTTGAGCCCATGTGGCCTTCCAAATACCCTCATTTCCCATTCTAAAGCCTCATAAACCATCTGCTGACTAATTGCACAAGAATTTCGTCCTGATTTGACTTCTAGCTCATCATTTACATTTTATAAGACTTGACTCTTCCTGATTCTGCCAGTTCCTGTAAGTCTGTGGTGGGAGACCAGTGTTGGATTCTTAATTCCTGTTTGCTCTATTGTGTTCAGTGAGTATCGTTTAATATTGGTACTTATCTGTATAAGCACATTCTTTAATCATTGGTGCATATTCTTTACGTGAGCTCATCAGTATTTCAGGATATTTTGTTCCCATGGGGTTATCTGTGACTAGTTTGGAGATGCCTTCTTGGGATATCTTCTCCCCATTTTGAAACTTTAGTCACTGGGTTACACCAGGTCCCACATGTTAACAGTTTCTTCTTCACTTTTTATTAAGATGAATTTGTCTCATACAAATGAAGATTTCAGTAGTACATTTAGCAGTAATGATTGGACTCCTCCCCTACCCTTTTTTTGGTATTACACTGTCAGTTCTCTGTAGCATCTAGTTATCAATTCTCTGTAGCATCTAGTTGTCAGCATTTGATTTTACTTCTGGACTAGAAGTACTTATTTTCCCCTTAATCATAGTACGTTCTCAAAAGTAGGCATCTTTAAAAAGCCTTTTAGAATTTTAGAAAGTTCTTGGTTTTTTTTTAATAATTTGCTTCCAGCATATCATTCTCATTGGATTGTGAATTAGAGAAAATTGTCCCTCTTTCTGAATATATAAATTGGTTGAGAACACCGTTCCTGGTATGATTCAGGCAAGACCTGTCTAAGCATGGTCATTATTTTGACCTCAGTTTTCTCAGTGTGGTAATAGCTATATTGAGTAAGAAGAACCATCAGCTAGGAGTTTCACAGAGAGTACTTCAGTTAACCTTCTGGGTTATCCTATGGTGTAATTGGCACCAGTCCAATTTTATGTGCTTAAAACTTGTGTAATTTTTTTTAA